TTAGTCTTTCGACCTTTTCCAGAGCGCTTGACCGGGCGCTTGGCTTGTTTTGGCCAGGATGGCCACACCGGATGGCGGTGATAACGATTTACCGAACGAATTATGCGACATTATAAATTGCGTCGCCATATTCACACCTTATTCCCCATTACTTCTATGGGATGTAAATGAACCCACACACTGATCGAAAAGAGTAGGGGATGTAGTTCCCGATGTGGTGGTCTATCTCTCATCTGATGGTTAAATGCTCGGAGATATTAGCTGCATGAGCTACTCTGAAATCCGAGGGTAAATAAAGTAATATATGTATGTATATTTACGAAAAGGATGTGCGAGCAGGAGTGCCTTCATTCGAAAAGAAAAATTCTTAGCCCACATTTCAAAGAAAATGAAGACGCTGAAAGCTTTGAAGGAAACTGTCAGGTGTGTTTACGGGCCATCTCATGGAAATGAACAATCTTTTTCTCAGTTTCACTGATACGTGGGCAGAAGAAAACAAAACAGAACTGACCGTTTACGGAAAGTAACGTTCCAATCATTTGTGCTTACTTATCTGCTACCCTTTGAATCCTTTTGTGATCTTCTATGCGATATCTATTTTTAAAAAGATTTCTGCGTTAATTATTAATTTAACAATTTAACAAATTTTAAATAATTAACGCGGAAATGTCGTTGAAAAGTGGACGGGATCGGGATTTCCAGGCTAAAAAGGGCGGGATGGCGGAATTAACAGGAAAAAATGAGCGGGAAAGCGGGATCTGAGAACCCTATTGTGGACCCTGGGATTCCTTTAAAAAAATGTCCAACAGTCAGCCTCTAACATCCGCTCCGCCAGGCTAGCCTGTAGAACAGGGGGATTAGCGGGGCAGAGAGCAAAACGCTAGAGCGAAACGCAATACACGAACGCGATTTTTTTCGTCTCGCGCTCGTGTATCGCGTCACGCTCACTGTCCCGCTAATCCGCCTCTTCTGCAGGCTACCGCCATGCCGAGAGTATTAGGCACTTTAAAACCTGAGATCGGGTGTTCTTTCTTTAACGGCAGAACGCCAGCTCCCAGGTTAGCCAGTTTTAGGACAGGAATTTGTATTTTATCAGGAGTGATAGGTTCCACTCTGCAAGCAGAGCCTTGCGGTACATATCTGCTCAAAACAAGCGATAAAAGAGGCTCTGCTTGCACGGTGGATGGGCTCCTGATTTTATTTAGAATTTTGCTTATGCTTGGTTGATAATGACCAGCATGAAGAACAGAGAACACAGATGAAGATGAGTTGTAAACGTCTTTTGTTGAAGTTTCTTTTTGTTTTGCGGAGTAACCAAATAGAATTGGTAGCCGAAGTAAAATTCGTAAAAATTTGTTTTTGTGCTGTTTTATCCTCAAAGTGTAATGTAGAGACGATTGTCAGAACCATGAACCATAATCGGGGACTATAGCTCCTGTCAGAACTCAAGATATCCCTCCCCTCCCCACCACCTATGCCCTCACCTTCCGGCTATTTCCCAGTGATCTTTGCGAGTGTAGTTCGTGTCCGCCATTTTGATTTTGTCACGTGTGGAAACAAAATAGTGGAAAATGTATCGTAGTTATCGTAGTTTCAGAGGTTTGTTCTTTGTTTCAAAACGGCTTGAACCAGTGATATTACTTAATCTGGGTCATAAGCTAACTTTCTCCACTTTTTTGCTTCTCGGAACCAGGAGATGGAATGTAGAGACGTGTTTGTTGACAACTTATGAGGACCGTCCCTGGACGAAGGTAATTAGCTTGTTTTGCGGTGTGATTACCTTACAGTTTGATTGGATAAATACTTGACTAGGTAATAAGATAGGACATAAACCTTGCATGTGTGTCCATCAGAGTTAATTCTGCTTTTAAGAGGCACACAAACTGAGAAACATGTAGCGCAATAGTTGTATGCGCCATTCCATTTAATCCGCAACCACCCCCCCCCCCT